CCCATGAGACGACACCTCATTCGAAGCAGCATTTTTTATACGCCTTTATGTGACTTATTTTTATGCAGAAATTATTCAACAAGATTTTTAGAGATATTTAAAATCGACTATTTTCGGCCGGTTTTTAAGAAAATAGCTTTAACTTTTTAAAGCGGGCTCCTCAGCGGATCTGCGAACCAGATTCGGAATCAGCGAAAAATTGTGGACAAGATAGGCTTAGTACCGAATGGAATTTCCATCCGATTGGGTTGGAACGTAAGTCTCTGCGTATTTTCAGGCTCAATCTTCGCGCCGAAATCCAAATCCAAATCCAAATTTTTGCTGAGTCGTGCGTATTCTTAGAAAGAGCATTTTTTGCTCTACAAGGCTGGGATAGCAGCTTATTTGATAACCGTTAACTTCGCATATATTTCGGGCAACGCAATCTCGACGACCGCACCATGCAAAATTTTTCCTTACCATAATTACCAAATTAAATTTAATCCATTATGCACTAGCCCAGTGGACTACAGGTTGATGCCAAAGATTAACAAGCGTATGGATTCCCTTCCGCTAAACCCGAGCTCAAATTATCGCACCAGACAGTAGTTCTCGTTAGTGGACGTCTCACCATAAAAATTTCGAGATAGCTCTGTTGTATTTTGAAAGATGTAGGTTCTTTTGAATAGGCAGAAAAGTTGTTTAGTAGTTTAAGAAAAGTAATCAGAAAATGACGCTTGGGATGTTTTAAATCATTGTTTTTCACGCAGAAATTAGCAAGCAGAGCGCATTTCGGTCAATTTTTCGATCTTCTGAAAATGACAAAAGCTACTTCAAAAATAAACTAATTACATGAAAAGGAAGAAGAATAAAAACTCTTTCGAAGTACAATAGGTAACCTGTAAAATTACTTAGCTATCGTGCCCAAGATCGAGCTCAAAGAAAAACGGCGATTTTAATTCTAACCAAATAATTCGGAGCCATGTAAAATAGAAAATAAACGAATGGCCTGGTAGAGAAAAGAAAGCTGGTTCGAATGATATATCACACTTGCTCCAAAGTCCTCTGGGGAGAGAAGCCGCGAGTTTTGGAAAAAGCGCAGAGACTTACGTTCCAACCCAATATCTGAAAACATTTTACAGTTATTTAGAGTTAAAGGGGGTTGTTTTTTATTGGGATACCCTGTAGGTGCCGGAGATAATTACGCAAATTGATGCAAAGATACACACAGACACACAAACACTATTTTTTTATGGCGATATAAAGATTTTGGAGCTACAGTAGCGGTCAAAAAGATGTCCCCTCGGGAAATCCTTTGGTGCTCGCAAATAACAGGCCCAAATGTTATGAAACTTTGCCACTATGTCAATTTCGATACGGAAAATCCGATGGTGAACTTGAAATCGGCTGAAAATTTGATTTTAGTCATCAAACTTTAATTTTTAAAGAAATCGGTAAAATGAACTTTTCCTGAGGGATTTTCGGGTTTCAAAAATGTGTCCATCGTGTTCGCAAGGGTCGAAAACCTATCTGAAACATGTTCAAAACATTTATCTCTATGAGGTTCGCTACTATGAGGCCGAGAAGTTGTCGCCGCGGGGCGCTTTCTTGACCCCCGTAAGCCTATCCAAAGTATTTTGGCCCGCGCGACAGCAACTTTCGGCCGTCAGTATGGTCAGGCCCTGGCAGAAAAACTGTCGTAAAATAGCGGACTACTGGTTTTCGACCCTTGCGAACACGATGGACACATATTTGAAACCCGAAAATTCCTCATGAAAAAGTTTATTTTTACAGATTTTTTTGAAATCGAAGTTTGACCATTAAAATAAAATTTTCAGTAGATTTCAATGTTACCATCGGATTCTGCGCAGCCTAATTGACCTAGACACGACGTTTCATAAAATTTGGGCCTGTGGTTTACGAGCACCAAGCGATCTCCCGAGGGGACATCTTTTTGACCGCTACTGTAGATCCTTGGGTTAGCGTCGAATTGACAGGCCCCTTCGAAGCGATGGCTGCAATGCGCCGTTAGTTGATTGGCAGGCTCCGCCCCCGCTAGCCAAAGGCCAAGGGCCTCGAAGCCGGCGCGTACCGTTACTTTGGATTTTTCGAAGTTGTGGGTGGGAACGTCGTACGTGTAATATATCCGACTTTTGCGTTACTTTTCAGTGGTTCGGCCCGACAGTCGGGGGAAAAACAAAATTTCGCAAAAAAAAAATTAGGTACCTGGACTGATTCATGCCTGGACAAAACGCGGGCCGGGAAAGATATCCCGACATCTTCCGTGAAACCACCGAAAAACCGCTTTCTGACTTCTTAACCCTGGCCCCGTGCAAGCCCCTGAAACTCTCCAGTTTGCATAATTCGCCCAACCATGAAATATCATGAAAAACGATGCCGCTCGGCCATTATGTAGGCTATATCCACTTCCGGAGCATGCTAGTCGTTTCCCAACAAAGTGACTACCTGAGTTTACTACAAAAATTTAATTTTAATGTCAAAAATAACATGTTCCGTAATCTGATAGGCGTGCAGATATGCCAGAACCATTACGCACCTAGTGACATACCAGGATTGAAAGACCGGTTCGCGGCTTTTCAAGTCTGGCCAGGATATATGAAGTTATTAACTTTCCATAATTGCCGAAAACCGATCATCAAAAAAAACGCCATTACGCACTAGTGGCATATCATCCATACCGTAAAACTCCGCCCCTCTTGAGATATCCTCCGGACATGGTGACGGAAGTTGCCTGCAAAGTGTCACGCCCACGCTTTTTTATATATAGTAGGATAACAGAAAAATCTGAAATCGGTTCCGCTCTGATTCTGAAACCATAGTTGGCGTCCGGAATTCGGCTGCCTAGTTGGCGTTGGCCGCCACATATCCCTCATATCCCCCTCGCCCTCTTCCCTGTCCCGTCTCTTCCATGGCCGAGCGGTCTATGGCGCTGGTCCCAGAGGGGTTGGCCCGGGTTCGCTTTTGCCGAACGTTCAGCATCTATCGTAACCTTGCATGCTAAAGTGTCGACCATTTCAAGGTCTTTTGAAATTATGAATGAGAACGGAATGTCCCTTTAATAAGGTTCACAGCGGGACAAAGGTGGGGGAATCGAATGGCAGAGAGCAGCAAAGATTAGAGAGATTAAACAAGACAAGAGATTAAAATTGTTCAAACCAACGTGAAAGTTTCTGTGCTTAAAAATAGTTTTATTTTTCTGTGAAAAGTACAGTAGTGAAAGTTGCGAGTTTTCAGAACAAGCATGTCCGCTTTCGTCGAGTTCCTCTACTACGCGGTCGAGGTGACCACGTATCTCGACCTGGCGACGTTTTTCGTCGCCGTCTTGATGATTGTCATCGTCTGGCGGGACGCGGCCCTGAACCCCGGCCACAAAACAATTGTCTTGAGCATATGTAAGTTGCCTAACAAAGAGACGCTTTTGAGTCCTATAGCTTTCCTGTGCAGAGTTTTGCGCTGATTTTGAAGCTGTTTTCAAGCGCTCCTAAATACCCCGATTGAAAAAGTTTGCGCAATTTTACGATAACTTTCACCGCCAATTTTTTGAACTTATGCCCGAAGCGCACCTAAAGTGGATGCAAATTGTTGCTCTATCTTTTTCATACTTGTGTTTTGGCCCTATTTTTTGGTTTACATCGTCGTAAAAACCTTGATATCCATCATAGGAAATTTCTTTCCAAGCGCTACGAGATATCTGTCGGCTCAGCATGAAAATACGGCAGCGCGGGGATAAAGCTAAAAAACTGAGTGGCTCTAGCTTTTTGGGGCGCACTGTCTACTATTCGAATAGGAATGAATGTTCTATCAGATAGGTAGATAGGCTATAAAATGTCCTGCCTATCCTATTTTGTGCAGTCTTTTTTACTGATTCCAAAACTTCCTCCTTTCAATCCTTTCAATCTTTCATTACACTCTAAGTTTTGGTATTAACATTTTGGCAATAATCTATTTTACCCCCCTCCAGCCGAACGTCATTTACGTGCAATTTTCAAATGGCTAGAACTCGCTAGGCTTCAATTGTCGAAGCAATCTCGACGGGCCACCATGACGGGCAAGCCTTAAACTATTTGGCAGCAAAACAGCGCTTCATCCCAATGCACAGTTCAAACTCTATGGACCCTCTGTCTGACAAAGAGCAGCGCGTCGCGCGCCCTGAAAACGGGCCTAAAATGATCACTTCTGAAGCTTATTTTAAAAAACCACGAGTGCTGTGGCTAAATGGCGCATGAATTCTGATTCCCCATACCTTTGTCTACAATTTGGCTGAGTTTGCCGGTCCTGGGATTTTTCTGCGTTCTTTTATGACCGAAAAACAAAAAGTCCAGGAACTTTTGCCCCATCCTGTATATTTACCGCTTTTCACAAACGCAGAGCAAGGTTAGCGAGTGAGAGCAAACTCCGGTGGTCTTGCTATCTCGCTGTCACCATCTCGCTGTCTACAACCTAGCTGAATTTGGCGTTCTCACGATCGCTCTACGTGCTTTTATGACCGAAAAACAAAAAAGTCCAGGAAGTTTTGCCCCACCCTTTACAGGGTGTCCCAATAAAACAAACCCTCAAACGCGACGAAAAAGCCGGATCGGATGGGATTGATAGTTACACCATTCGAAAGCCCTTGTAACGGCAAGTCGACAACAATTTCTAGAACTATGTTTTCATCTAAACGCGCCATTTTGCAACGTACTGAAAAATATTAAGGAACGGCCTCCGCATCTAATTAACTACTACAGCGGTCATTCTGCTTGAAAAAAATAGGTGCAATAACCAAATGAATTATTGAAAACCAATTTAATGCCCTGTAGTTGCAACAACCAAATTAACATGTTTTACGCATGGCATCAAGGGCTGCCCAAACCCTCAGGCGTCCGCCAGGTGTCGGCAGGTCCGGAAATCCAAAATTGGCCAGAGGAGGCCTGCCGCTCCCTTACTCTAATCTCTACTTTGCAGTAATCGGGGATGCGACCGTGCTCCTGGGTGTTTACGCCCGCTTCTTCTCCACCATCATGCCCGGCGAATGGGCTCTCGGAACTGGCAAATTCCGGCAGCTCGCCGTCGTCTGCCTGGCCACGCAGACGAAATGGTGGAAATTTTTAATGGCGGTGGCCAAATCGGTGAAGATCAGCTGGGGCATCCAGGTATGTCACATGACTTTTGTAACTAACTAACTTTCATAAACGCATTCCACATAAATCCATACAGGGACTTTGTCGAAAATTCGCCAACGGGCCCATGTATTTTTCGAGAGGGCCAATTCCTGAAGTTTCAGGGTAAAACCACTTGAATTTAACCAATTTCTCCGTTCGATCGATTTCTTGCGTTTAGTCAGCGCAAACCCGGGCTGGTTCGTTAGCGGGGGGCGGGGGGTAGGGATTTAATGTCATAGATTTTTGGCCTACGGTTTACTTTACCCCCCCACGTCCCAAAGTTTTCGATATTTTCGCTATTTGGTCGGGATTTTTGATACTTTGCCCATTCAATATAGCATCAAAAAATATACCAGAAGTTTTTATGGCAGCTCAAAATTATGTATTTTACAATTTTAACATATACAATTGTATATGTTAAAGCGATCCAAGCCCAAAACTGCCAGGACTTTTTGTACAACCTAATATATAGTAGGATTAAAACAATGATGTCGGCAATGTATAACAGAGGCAAAAAATCTTGAGAATAGCTTATGACCTGAATGAGCTAAAGTTAAATTAATTAAAAAAGCGATTTTCTAACATTTTTGCAAAACAGGTGGGTTTCATGGGTTTTTGAAAGACAGCTTTCCAAAAGCCATCAACAAAAACACGGCTCTGATGGCGCTTAAACCGGTTCAATTGGGTTTTTGGCAAAAAGGCGTGCCCTTTTTGCATGACAAGCGCTGAAGACCTAGCAAAAACATTCGAGATCCCGAAAATCGGAATGATGTGCTCGACTCGACTTTTCGAGAGCTTTCGATCGATACCTAAATCGTAAAAATTGGACAAGACTGCGGCCAGATAGGGGGTCCTAGGTTAATTTTTTTAAACATGTACCTGAACATTTTAAACATGTAGATTCCTGAGTTCTGGATTTCGCCCAAAGAAGCCTTGAAAATGGGATCTTTTCACCTGCAATTTAGGTTGAATTTAGTTTTTGTCAAACCATTGGAACGCGCTGGGTTTTGAACCTCGATTCGTCATCACGGCCGCCGGCTTGCGCACATTTCCATTCCCCAAGCGATTGCCTCCAAAGGGGTCTTATGGGTTGCTATTTCGTACCCGTTTCAAGCTCGCAGCTCAACATCGCGCCATTTCGATAAGTCAGTGCACGAAAAACAGTCATGGGCAGTTGGTTAGAAGCTAATTATGAGTCCGCGAACGAAAATAGCGCAAAATAGCAAAGTGTTTTGCTTGTAAAAAAGAAATAGACCTCGAAAACTCCTAACATTTTTTGCCATTACGTTTCAATAATTTAGAGCCATTTATGATCAAAGAAAAAAAAAATCATAATTTTCCCACTTCCCATTCAAGAACGCACAAGTTGCTGTCGTAACCAGCTTCCATAGTACAGTTGTGTACTATCCAGTCGATCGAAAATTTTTTTTGACGTTCTAGCGATTGGCGTTTTCAAAATATATAAAATATCAAAAATTTGGCTTCTCCCCAGTAATCCTTTAATTTTGTTTTTTTTGATGTATTTTTTGGTTATTCGGTAGAGAATTTTTTATTCTTTTGGGCTGAAATTAATTCTCTGGGTCTATTTTTTTGACGCTCAATCGAATGGCGTGTTCAAAATACGAAAAATTTTGAAAATTGCGTAAATTTAACTTTTCCCTGTTGTCCTACAAAAATTGCCATTACATTATTTCGGGCTGAAACTAATTCTCGTAGGATATTTTTCGACGCTCTATCGAATGGCACTCGCAAATTCCCTACAGTAATTTGCAAATTTGATAATAATGAGTGCTCCCTCCCACCCGTAATCTTACGTTTGTCACAATAAGTCATTGTGACAATAAGTGAAGCTCGTTTTCAATAAATTTGTAACCAGCTTGTTTGTAGTGGTTCGAAACCCGTAAGGCTGCCTGGATCATGGCCACGACGCTATGGGGTGGACACGTGTTGCTGGCCGTGTACATCGGCTTGAGCGCGCCGATAAACCTGACGGAAAGCCGGAATGGACTCGAGTAAGTTCTTTCCTTGATTATTCAACAGCAGGGTTGAAAAGCCGCTTCGTGACTTTTCAACTAGCACCTTGCGGTCGTCCTTTTAGGTGGCAAACCGATGATTACGACAAGATTCTGGGCCACTACGCGTCCTGCATGTGCCCGTCGGCCGGCCTGATCGCTCTTGTGATCCATGGCGTTTGGTTGTTCCGGGCCGCCTGCCAACCGGCAACCCGCGAGCGAATCGGGGATGGCCTGCACGTCCGATTCACCATGCCGTTCGTGAATGGCATCGGTATGGGTTGTGCTTTCCGCCGAATTGTTTCACCGAGTCGACAATAGAAATTTTTTCTGAATCCAGATCCTTTTACTTAAAGGGCGCTCCAAAAAACCGTGGCGCCATTCGCTATCATCGCCACCAGCTCGTCATACGATAAACTTGAAAATTTGCCAAGCGATGGCTAAGTGTACAGGGTGCGGCAAAAGTTCCTGGACCTTTTATTTTTCGGCCCTAAAAGGACGTAGAGGGATCACCAAATTCAGCGAAGTTGTAGAGTCGGGGTTGGGGAATCAGAATTCATTTGCCTTTTTGCGGCAGCCCACGAGATTTTTTCAGAAATGAGCTTTTGAAGTTGTCATTTTGATCCCATTTCTAGGCTGTGCGGCACGCTGCTCTCAGCCAGACATTTGGACCCATAGCATTTTAACGGTGCATCGGAATGAAGCCGTTTTGTGCTACCAAATAGCTTACAGCTTGTCAGTCATGGTGGAAAATTCACTGCTGGACTGCAGTTACTTTCGGTCCGACCTAATATATTCGGGGGGGGGGGGACTTACTCGGGATTTTAGGGTACACAGGGTGTCCCAATAAAAAAGGGCACGCCTGCATTTGCCATCTCAAGTCCGATCGGCTTGAAACTTTTAACAGAACAACGGAAGAAGATTTAAAATGTTTTCAGAAACTTTCAGTCGGATCGGTACAGTAGTTTTCGAGTTATTGCAAAAATAACTCGCTGTTCAACCCTTTCGCCTAATTTTTGGATCCTTTTTGGTCTTTGCAACAAATTAACATTAATTTCCGGCTCCAAATCCCTCATTCTTCTAAACATCGGGATTGATCTTGCAGTGTTGAAATACCCAAATACCTTTCCTGGCTCAAAACTGCTTAAAAACGTATTACAACTAACGTTCATGCCCCTGGCTTAGCCCACATGGCTTCGAATTTCGGACGCATGTAAATTATCTACCATTTTCGCTGAAAAACTGACGTGTCCAGGGTGTCGAATAAAAAACACCCCGTCCAACTCGACGCAGAAGTCGATCAGATCGGATAGATAGTTACACCATTCGAAAGCCGTTCAAACGGCGAGTTTGCGACTATTTTCAAAACCATGTTTTTATTTAAATGCGCCCTTTTACAACGCATTTAAAAAAATTAAGGACCGGTCTCTGCATCTAATTAACGGCTACTTCCGGTCATTTTGTATGGAGAAATTGAGGGAAAGTAGCTCGCATACAACCGTGAAAAATGGCTTGTAAAACATCTAGTATTAATAAAAAAATGGTTTTGAAAATTGTTGCAAACTCGTCGTTTCAAAGGCTTTCGAATGGTGCAACTACCATTCCGATCCGATACTTCTGCGTCGAGTTAGAGGGGGGTGTTTTTTTATTGGGAACCCTGTAAATCTGACGTATAATTTGCATGCCGCGTTGCATACGTCGTCCACCTTTTCAGCGGCGCTGTGGAGCAGTCTGCCACTATTGTATATGTGGCTGACGATGCAGACCACGCTGAAGAAGTTAGACACTCCGATGTATCGGATGTTGTTGAACTTTGGCATTGGGCTCGATGCGGTCTTCACCGCCTGGATCAATGCTGCTCTGGTAGACAGGGTGAGTGGTTGCTCGGTAAAGATTATCATGAAAATCGTTAGGAAATTCACAATCAAAGCACTCGACATTTTCACTGAAAATTTGCACATGAACACCCGAGTTTGGACGCAAAATCGAAATTTTTGTTTTCGGGGCCGAGCCGAATACACAGGAGACTTTAGCCGCGACATGTACAGCGCGGGCCGTGCACTAGCCGCGCATGGCCCGGTATCGGCCCATGCGCGGCGGCCGCCCGGCCCGCGCAGTCTTCTCGCGGCCCGTCGGCAACTGCGCGCCAACTCCGCGGCCAGTGCACGGGCGCGCGCCTACCGCGGCTGGTGCACGGCCCGTGCACGGCTACTCCACGGCTAGTCCACTGCTCCCTCACGGGCTCGCCCGTATCGTGGCTATAGCACGGGCCGGTACCGGCTTGCGCACGGGCCGCGCACTTTTGTCGCTGCAAAAGTCTCCCGGTAGGCGAGACGGTCCCGGGATCAAGTTAGGCCGGCCCCGAGCACGATCCCGCTAATTTGCATCTTTTTCCGAGTTCGGAAGTGAACACTTTTCTATGTTAATTGGATTACAGGAGGACCGGAGGCCTGGGATGGCAAAAGTGAATTCGTAGAATTTCAGTACCGGAACATCATCTTGTGCCGGGGCAGCCCCCGACAAGAGGCGGTGGAGGAGCTTCCACTTGAGGAAGTCGTGGTCCGGGAGGCCTGATGGGCTCAGGCACCGGATTGCATGCGCACACCCAAAAGCCGAGCCACAAGCCGTGAGTCGATTTTTTTCCTGGGTAGCCGAGGGAAGTAAAGGTATAGCCCGATCCATAAATTTTGAGAAAATACCAGGGTTGAAGTGTTTGTTTGTTTTGGCAATTTTGTCAAAATGCCTTGTCAATTAAGCCTTTTTTTGGGCTAAACCAAATCCCGTATCGTCACGAACGTAATATCTTCGTTAGTATCAGGTGATTACGTCGTTTCGCCACTGCAATCATCTGGCCTTCGGGCCACCTTTCATATCCTATGCCACCAGTTTTTGCCTTAACTCGATCCTTGCACACGCTGATGGCTTCAGATACCTCGCAAAACCGAAACCCCTTCATAAACAACTTACTAGTTAGACTCCCCGATACCCAAAAATACGCTCCTTTGTGTCAAAAGCTTAAAAACTACTAAAAAGTCGAAAAAACCAGGAAATGCGCACGGCCTGGCTCATTATGTCCAAGCTCGTGCCAAAGTCCGTTCCCCACTCGTTTTACTAAGGCGCCACTTTCAAAGTTAAATTTAATTGTATCATCAACTATAATAAAAAGATTGCGGTGGCTGTCTGTCTGTCTGTCCGTCTTGTCCCGGATGCAGTACGAAGGGGAAAGGAGCTCGAGCGCGGGTCTCTTCGGATTCGGATAGCGCGCGGTAAGAAACCCCCAAACTGATAAAAAAATTAAGAAAAAGGTTTTTGGGGTTACATTTTGAAATGAACGCTCTATCCGCATCCGAACAGACCTAAGCTATAGCTCCATTTCCCTTCGAGTTCAATCCGGGACGCGACGGACAGATAGAGAGAAGTTGCATGCGAAGTAGCACACCCGTACACACCAAAACTATTTTTTTTTACATATATAATCGGAGCAGTGGAAAAAGACCGCTTCGCGGCCCTTTGCCGCTAGACCCCGTCTAGGAACAATGAATTCGCTTTTCTTTTTTGAAGTCTGCGGCGCAAGGACCTGCGTCAAGGAGCCATTCTTTGGCCTGCGTCGCCAGAGCCAGCGTTGCGCTAGAATCTTTGAGTCTGCGGCTCTAGCTACTGATTTTTCACCAGGATTAAGCCTGCAGCGCCAGAGAGTAAGTCAAGGTCCTTGCCTTTGGCCTGCGGCGCTGAAGCGAGGGCCAGACCTCAATCTCGCACACGGAGCGCCTAGGTTATGTTCTGTTGCTGAACCACCAGAAAGCAAAAAGCGGAATTTGTCGAGGATCCAAACCCCCCGGCCCTCACTGTAAAGTGTTTTCACATAGGATGGAAATTCCATTCGGGACCGAGCCTATCTTCCGAAAGAGCATAATTTTCTACCCCAAGATATGTTCTGTGTAATCCAGAAAGTAATCTACAAGATTGTTAGAGAGATTTAAAATTCACTATTTTTGCCCAGTTTCTAAGAAAAATAGCTGTGACTTTGTAATACGGGCTCTTCAGCAGATTTGGAAACCAGATTCGCATTCGCGAAAAATACTGCAGAAGATAGGCTTGATCCCGAATGGAATTTCCATCCTATGTTAAAACACTTTACGGCCAGTGCGATCGACAGAGCCCCAGTACACTACACCACAGCGGAGATGGGAAGAGGTGGCGGGAAAGGCGTTTTCTGTCCTGGGGGGTGGGTGGGTGGGGGTGGAGGGCGAAGGGCGGGGGCTGTCCCAGGCAGCAGCAAATAAATCAGCGACCCAATAATGTAAGGAGACCTTCTGGCCACCTTACAAAATTCCAATTTTTAGCATGAATCCGCTTCAATGATAACTAGATGCGCGTGATCCCCACTATCGGATACAAAAGTTGTCAAAATTCCAGTCCGAAATTCCAAATGGGCATTGAGTTATGGCCCGAACACCACGGCTCGCCGCCCATTTTTTTTAAGGATTTTTACTTTTTTGCTTGTAAAATTGTTAAATGGAGGAATTGGGGAAACAAAAAAAAACCGGTTTTTGGCGAATATGTTTCTCCACCACGGTGCCAAAAATCGGTCGAAATTCGGCCTGACGGAAAATCAACATTACAGAAAAAAGACTTACTTTTCTCGCTTATAGGAAAGGATTTCGGTGATAGGATAGGACAGTAAGATCGTATCTAAAAGCCCCCCCCCCCCGGCCCAGAAAGAGCGGTTTGAATGCCATGGGCAAGGCCTGTCGAGGCCTAGCTCGTCCGATGGCAATTCTTCAATTGCTGCAAGACAACGGCCACATGTGGCAAATAGGGCGGGGGCGGGGCGATTTGTCCATTTTTTTTTCTGGCCTCCGGATGGATACCGGACATTGCCATCCTCACGAATCGGATGGGACGACGTCTAGCCCACATTTTGCCACAGACTTGTCCCAAATATTTTAACGACTATTTATCGTGCTCTTGACCTCAGTTTTTCCAAAAACATGCAGGTAACCTGCGGCGTTGTTGCTAAATTTCTCGAAAAATGCGCCTCCGAAGTTGGGATTTTGCCGCAACTTTTTGGAGATGAAGTTTTTGTCGCTGCTCTTTAGCCTATTTCGTAAAAAATAGGGGGAGGTCATCAATTTTTTGCCCCCCACCCCCGCCCCGAAATTCCCCTCCGCTACGGGCCTGTATATAAACAATAAAATAAAGTGACGATTTTAGTGATCGCGGACTGCATCGCCGATTTTGCGATGATACCACGCCGGCCCGGTCTGGGTGCCCACGGAGATCCACGAATCGCTCGCCAAGTGGCAGGAACAGACGATAGGAAGCGTCGCGACGCGAACCAAGCTCGGCAGCTCATTATGATGGTGGCAAGTTGGGTGGTCATCTATAGCCCACACAACAAGGTAAATGCCGCGCAGAACCCGCTTTCGTGTAGGCTATACAGGGTATTCCAAAAAACACTTCCCCCTAGAGGGCCGCGGTCGTGTCTGTTTTTTACGATCTAGGTATCTATAGAAGGCTCTCGGAAAGGCGAGGAGTCCAGCACGTCTCTCGAATTCTCAAATTTTTGACATTTTTTTATTTACTATTTTGCAAAACGGGCGGATGGCGCTGGGTGTGGCTTGGCATGGGAGGCATGCCGTGCTCGCGGGATACGTCGGCTTCACCGTGCCGAACAAGATCGTCGAAGGAACGGACGGCCTCGAGTAAGTGCTTTTGAATGTACCAAAAAAATTACCCTTCTCTAACGGTGCGTGTGTAGTGCCCGATTTTGACAATTTAGCTCTATCGAAAGCTCACGAAAGCAGAGAAAACAAGGAGGGTCATGTTCTGCGTTATATCGTTTTATCCGCGAATTTTACTCCCGAAAACCTTGAAAACGACATCTTTAGGCGAGGTCTGCATGCTAATCTACGAGATTCGTAGCTAAAAGCCACCTGTTTTTTTTAGAAAAACGCGGAATATCGATACACGAATGTGTTCTGAGAAAGGTTATAAGGCCCCTCCCCCAAGAAAGCAGAAATGGCGGACCGGACGGGAAATAAGTCCAAATTTTATCATTTTAAATTCAATTTTTCTCGAAAGTCTCGGCGATTAAGTAACTTTGGAAAAACGCCGTCTGGTTCAGAATTTTTTCTCGATCGAATGAGCTATATTTCATTACCAAACTGGGATGTCGCTCAAAAACGTCTCGTTGTCTGGTTTTAATGACGGATACCGTTCGAATCAAAAAAAAATCTCTATTAAATAGGATACTTCAAATAGCTTGGAACCTAAAAACAAAAAATATAGCTGTAGCAAGGCAATTTACTTCTCAGATCACCAAATTTCCTTAAATACCGCAGAATTTCTGAACCAAAACTATCCTGCAGTTTCTGAAACCAGATTCGAAAACAGCAAAAAAATCTGCACAAGATGGGATTGGTCCTATCTCCAAATTTCATCCTGACCCAAAACACTTTGCTTGTAAGCGCAAAAATACGGTTGCACAGAGGGAATGACCAAGAAACGGGTGGCATTATCACGTTGATACACACTTCAGTCAGGTTCTTTTTGAATTGTTGATTTCTAGGGTACGCCACGAAGAGTTCGCGGCGTGGCTTAACATCTATGCGGCGATGGTCAGCCCGGCGTTGGGGCTGATCACCTTCGTCGGCTACGTGGCGTTCCTGGCCTACGGGCTGTGCCGGGCGTCCACCCGCAAACACATCACAAAGGCCGCCCCCCTTCTACTGGCACTGCTGTTGCAGGACGCAGGTCGGTTTTTCGTTGTTACAAGTGGCTAGTTTTGGTAGTGTTTTATGCTTAGGCTTAGATGTAGGGCTTTGCTTACTGTAAGGTGTTTTCACATGGAAATTCCATTCGAGATCAAGCCTATCTTGTGCAGAATTTTTCGCTGATTCTGAGTCTGTTTTCCAAATCTGCGGAAGGGCCCGATTTCAAAAGTTACAGCTGTCTTTGTTACAAACTGGCTCAAAATGGTCGATTTTAAATGCCGCAAAAACACTTGTAAAATACTTTCTGCATAAAAATAAGCCACAAGCTGGGGTAAAAAAATATGCTTTTTCGAATCAGCTATCCCACGGCCTTACACATAGGCTTTGACTTAGGCTTTGGCTTAGTCTTTGGCCGTCTTCTATCCGATCGTGACCAAATTTTTACCAGCGGTGCATACCCATAAGAACTATGTGCAGCGGAAGTTTCTAAGCAAAATATTGTAAAACGAAAAAGTTATCGCTCAAAACTTGTTTTTTGGACTCGGTGGTACTAGTTTTTGGGTAGATGTCGATTTTGCGCAATTTGCAGAAAAATTCCGGACGGTTTCTGCCCAATTTGACAACAAAAGATGAGGAAATGTCCTGATTTAGACGCCGTCTTCGTAAATAAAAGCAGTTCTCCGAATCGAAAAAATGCCTTATTCATTTTGCTAGATATTTCCAGTTCGAAATCCGTCCAAAACTTACTGAAATCGGCAAATACAACCTTAATTTCGCTATACCTTTTTTGTTTTACAGTGTTTTGCGTAGGAAATTTGGTTGCTCATAGTTTTTATGGGTTCGCATCGCTGGTAAAAATTTGGCCACGATCGGATAGAAGACGGCCAGTACCGAGCGGGGCTTTTGCGGGACACTGTAAGTAGTTGGTTTGCTATTCTGGCAAAAATCATGCAAGTACTCTGTTTACAGTGGCGCTGATTAGCGGGATCCCCCTGCTCTACACGGCCATCGCAATACGAGCAGACTGGACCGAACTGCCGCCCGTTTTCTACAAGAACCTCCTGGCATTGGGAATCGGGCTCAACGCGGTCGTCACGACGTGGAGCAACTCGTGGTTACTGAAAAAGGTATGCCCCTTTTTGCTCGACTTTCGTTTTTCGATCAAAAAAACACGTTTTTTTGCCAAAAGCCAAATTTAACTGGTTTAAGCGATATACTAGCTGTGTTTTCGCCAACGCTTTTTCAAAAGTAGTCGTTCGTCTGCCAGGAGAAGCCTAAATATTGCAACTGTTGCAAAACGCCCTTGTTCAAATAAACATAAAAAATCCCCTCGTATCTCAAACAATATTAGTAAATATTAGTTAGAACAATTTAAAAAATATGCGGATTTGATAGATAGACCCCTAAATCGTAAAAATCAGACAAGTCGTCGGCCGCCTAGGGGGGAGATTTTTGGGACACCCCCGTATACCGAGCCACTCTAGGCCAGTAAGCCATACGCAACAGCGTTTTTGCAAGCCGCGAAGGCTAATTGCCGTCCAATTTCAGTACCGCGACACGCTCGTGGCAAGATTCCACCTGAAACCAACCGCAGAAGTCGACCATCCCCTCGTCGAACGGCCACGCCAACAAGAATAATGGGTTTTTCATCAAACAATTTCCATTCGCTGTTTCCTGCCACCGTATTCCTTTTTTTTTGAAAATTTTGGTACATTTCGTTCAAATAATCTTTGTTGTTTTTGGGCAAGCATCATTCTGTTCATCAAGCATCTAATGCTAAAAGGTCTAACCCTCGCCATTTCCGCCCACGTCTCTCATTTATTTGTGTAATCACCTCCGGGTCTACTATTTTTTTGCCATTTTGGGTAACCTAACCAACCAATAAATTTGAGTTTTTGAGCTCAAATAACCAGAAATTTGGCTTAAGGCAGGTCCAAGAACGGATACAAAAATTCTTATATTATCATACGTTATCAAAATCGTCAATTTTCTTTGTCTCCGGCTGCTGCATCAACGAATATTGCGTGGAAACCCATGGGGATCCGTGGAACGGGTAGAACGTACCTGAAAATGTGTCCTTTTTGCGACAACTCGGAATTTCGAATATTTTGTCTTTTATTTAGGGCCGCTAAACCGCACCGACAAATCTCGCGGAGGCTTTTGGCGTCGAGAATCATGAAAATTGGCTTTTTCCGCTGGTTCGCGCTCATCACCGGCACGAGGATGATCCCTAAAAGTCTTCAAATAGGATGGTATGTAACGGTACCGTCATCTTCGGCCGTTCCGTTCGGACTCGGTACAAAAACAGGCTCGCCGAAAAGTTGCTCCGCGTCGTCCTTGTAGTGGATTAGCGTTTCTCCGGTATTTACATCGTTTTTGACCACCTTCAAATGTGAACATCAAAATTGTCCATTCAATATATATACCGTATTTCCTCAAATATAAGAAAGGAAATACGGTACTTGTAGTCATTTCACATTACGCAGAATAACAATAAGAAAACGCCCTAGACGGGTACACACCCCGGGAACCCGACGTTCCTGCCCAGCGTACAGTATCGTTGTCCCATATACAAATCGATATGGCACTCCGGTGAAATGTTCGTTGTAGCGTGGCAGTTCGAAAGCTGAAAGGAATTATGGCATATTTAGCCAAGCGGTTCAATCGAAAATGGCACTTTTTGAAACTCAGAAAATGCCCTTGGGAAAACGAGTGGAAGATACTTACAGTGCTGGCAAATTTTGGCTGGAATGCAAAAGACCGAGCCGTCAGCTTGTAGAATTGCCTGGGCACCTCGTGATGAAGCGGCCGTCTGGAAGTGTTTACGGGATTTTATGAGCAGATTTAATTGTCAAAATATTGAAAATAGGTCTGCTAACAAGCTAGGGTCTTAAACGTTGATACTTATAGGGTTAATAACGTTATCACAAGTTAGAACGTATATCGTATACCATTAGTTTTACATTCTATAGTCGTATAACATTTTAAAACAGTGTTTCTTCGTAAAAGTGACCTCCGCCAAGTCGATGCCAGCCTCAATACCTCCGGAAACATTGGTAGGAATGACGATTCGATGGAGAAATGGGCGGAACAATGGGTTCTGAACAATTTTAATGATTTTAGTTGTCATGGTCGAGCCCTACCCTAGACGAAAAAGAGCCATCTCGCATGTGTTGTAGCAGCAAGTCCTCGAAATTCCCCGGATTTTCCACGAGACAAAAATCGACGTCTGAAAAATTATGGAATGCATAAAAATTCATAAATTTCGAATTTACACAAAAATCCGTCGCGTTCAAAGGCGTTGGCGTGGTGAAAAGTGAAGAAGGGCGGGGCGAAGAACTGAAATTCGGGGGGTAAATATATCAACAAGGCAGATGAGGGTAAACTTCAGACACCCCGCCGAACCTCAGCTACCGTATCTCGGCGCTCCGTTGTCCGACTGCTGTGTAAGGTTAAGCAAAAAACTCGCCAGGCCTAGACGGACATTTTGGTATACTTTACAGCCTTGTAGGCCAAGAAGCAGCGGATATATAAACTGGGGGTTAGCTGAGGGCAAGTATCTACTGCCTTACAGCAAGTCAAAAATTCAAATAAAAAAATTCAGACGGCACCTTGCGCGGATGCCGATTTCCGGTCTTTTTGTCCACCAGAATAATGTTAACGTATTGGCGCTCCTTCCAAAATAAGGCATCGCGGAAGCAGGTGGGCTCAGTGCTAAAAATAATCGATTAAACGTGGTTGCTACCAGCTTTGGAATTGTCAAAACCTTTTAGCTCGTTAAAACCTGCATTTCCTACCTATTTTCAAGCTTTTTCATCGCAATCCGAAGCGGCGTCTCGAAAAGGATCAAATAATTCTCGGTGATTCCGAACGAATGGCAGTAGGATGGATAAGGCGGGTCGGTGTAAGGTACGCGTGATTTTATACTCGTTTTATCGAGCGGTCGATCTGCGGCATCTGAAGTATCCAGATTTGGAGCAGAAGCCCTCTCTCTCTCTCTCTCTCTCTCTCTCTCTCTCTCTCGATATCTTGCTCTCTTTCACTCTCTCCTCCTTACCGGCAAGTTGGATAAAAATATATTCATTTTTTCGGCCATAGCCGACGTTTTACACCGTGCCGTCACGATCTCGAATTGGATGCGCCGAGCAAGACAGTATCTCTGCCACGTGGTTACTTATGTCTTCCTGAAAACTTGGGTATAATCAAAAAATCCCAGCAAAAAATCCTTGAAGTGATGCTCAAATGCAAATCCGTAAGCTCTCGTTTTGTGAAGAGATATCCCTCACCTGTGCCTGCACCTCCAACGTATCCTGACAAATTCGAAGCCACTTTGACGTTTCGGTGAGAGCATAAACTTCCTTGTTGACCTTAATGCATCTACGCTTTTTGATTTCGATGTTGATTTGTTCTGTTTTTTGATTTGTGCAATGGGTTTTTTGGGTAGCATTTCCGTTTTAATCAGGAAACCCCAAGCCATTCTCAAACCTGCAAAAAATTGACCAGACAATTGTAGGCGCCGCTGTCCGGTTTAGCTTTCATCTAAAGTACATTCTTTGATGAGGCAGTGTACTGTATACATTCTTTTGCACGCTTCGCGGGGTTGCAAATGTCGAAACAGCGAGTCGTTTGTCTTTCTCGCAAGCCAGATACGCGTGGGATTTGAGGAATTTTGCGGAATAAAGCATCTGAAACGGATTTGGTATCAGCAGGTTCTCAAGCTGGCTCTCAAGCTTCTCAAGCAAAGCTCCAGAAGCCACCCAGTCAACCCACCCGGCCATTTTCGAAGTGATATCGCTGTGGATAGGCCATACCGTCGAACCAATGATTTACCTCATCATCACCTAAAAAAGATGGTGCTCTCAATACTCTCTAGGCACATACCAAATTTAAACTTGCCCGGGCCATTTCGGAGAAAATTTCCCGAAAGCCAGGTCGGAGGGGCCGCGCCTAGAATTAATTGGGTGCTCTTTGTATCGGGTAGAGATAAGCCTGAAATTTTGTTCTGCGCTCTCATGGGGCTTTTTGTGAATTACTTTTCCTTTGAATACAACCAATAGAAATCAAAGATTAACATTCTCTACAAACCCCTACCAATCCGCACGCCCTCGGCTGGGTCGGATACGTCGGAAAAGTTCTCGAACAGGTGATTGATGCGCATTGCACGACCTAAAAATGCTCATAGCTACAGTAGGCCTAGCGAGGTTTCGTTGGAAATAAGAAATTTAAGTAAGCGAAACTACGGTAACCGGCCGCCATTTATTAATCGACTGGGGGAACGCAAATCGACGAATACTGCTCTGAAACGGGTTGCTTAATTTTTCGACAGAAAGTTATAATACTTAATTTTTATTCGCCCGCATGATTTAAGGTTACGCAATACTTGATAAAAGCGATGAAGACGCAAAAATTGAAATAGGACGATCTGCTCGTCGTATGCTACCGGCACGCCTTGATACTGTGGTAGCAGTGCCTCAAGGTACAGTTGCCGCATATGGGCGTGGCCTCGTGTTGCTAGTATTGTAGCATCGTATCAACCTTGGAGTCTTTTGCGCAAAGCATCTTTGCATGATGATGTCATCGAACTCTGTGCCACTTTGCTTGCGATTTTCGTCAGCTTACCAGAGTATCTGGATAGTGTAGGTAATTGAATGTATTTATGTTACGGCAGTCCGTGCATAATGCTTTTTGAGATGACGACACACGTACCAGATGCTTCACTAGCGGCCGTTTTTAATATTCAGTCTGAGTTTTCCTGCCACTCCCTGGCCACCAGGGTTGTTCACGGACGGGCTCGGACGGACGCGGGCCCGGACCCGTCCGCGTCCGAATAATTTGCTCCGGGAGAGCGGACGGGCTGGGACGGGTCCGGGACGGGCCGGACGGGCTCGGACGCAGGAAGTAGCCAAGCCCGCTATGCAAAAGCGCGGGCAGCCAAAACTCGCATGATAATTGATGAAATGACGGTTTATCGCGTTCTTTCCCAAGTAAAGCACTTATGCAAATTAAGAAAGGGCAGCAATTGGTTCAAGATCTTAATTTGCATGTAATAATTTTGCATGTGCTTCCGGACATTTGCATCGCGGACGCGCGGACGCCCTAGCCCGCACTGCGTCCGTCCGGCCCGTCCGGGACCCGTCCCAGCCCGTCCGCAATTTTTTATGCTAATTGCACGGACGGGACGGGTCCGCGTCCCGGGCCGGACGGACGCGGACCGGACCCAAAATGAACAACCCTGCTGGCCACTGACCTTTCAACACCGAAAAATCAAGAAACTCACGATCCCCGAAGCCGTAACGTAAAAAATTAATTCGAATTTAAACGTTGCTGGATCTACAAAGTATTTATTCACCCGGAGCTTTGCCTGCAATAAATTTTTCAAAGAGATGTTGCAGCACTTCCGGCCTGTCCCGTCCAACATTGTGGCCGGCATGCTGAACCTTTGACAATTACCATTAACCCGTCTCACCCGAACCGTAGCAAATCTACATCCGGAATTCTGCAGCCATTTTCCCGCGACGCGATTTGCTAGGTAGTAGGCTTGGTAGTCTGGGATTGTCTAAAGATAAAAGTTTACGGGGTTTTTAGGTAGATCGGGGATCCCCTAAATAATTTTGCACTCTAAATCGTCTGAGAACGTAAGCGGAATAGGGGTTTCAAAGCTGGAAGTCGATGCAAATCAAAGCAGTGCAAAAAGGCAGCCGAAAAATTCGCTGAATAATTTTGGAAAACAGTAACTTGGCTATAACTTAAGAACCACTGTAGCTATCGGGTTATAATTTGGAATCTTTTGTAATTTAGGGTCTGATACACCTCTGTTTACATTTTGGGGCCGATTGGTGTAATCGTGCAAAAGGCCGAGGAGTGGTGCTCTCTTTGGGACACGCGGTATTTCACCGGCTAGAGCCATACAACTGACCCATTGCATCGCTTCAAATTAGAGATGTTATTATTCAAATCAAATCTGAGGATTTGAAAGTTTCTCAAATCAAATCCAGATTTGATTTGATTTGCCGGCAGAATCAAATCAAATCGGATTTGATTTGAACCGGAAGTCCAATTCAAATCAAATCCTGGACCGATTCGATTTGATTAATTTGAGTAACCCAAATTTCCGAAGCAAATGTGAGAAAATGGATGCTTATCAGCAATTTCCGGTTTATTCGATTAGGATCATATGCAAAACATTAAAAATTTCCCTCTTTTGCCTACATTTTTTGGTGCTCGACTTGTGATTTACATCCGTAAAAATGACTGCAGATTTGGAAGTTTCTCAAATCAAATCTGGATTTGATTTGAAAGTCCAGCCAGTTTCAAATCAATTCCAGATTTGATTTCGGCTGAATCAAATCTCAAATCTTCTTATTCAAATCAAATCGGATTTGAGTAGGATTTGATTTGAATAATAACATCTCTACTTCAAATATTTGTAAGGAAAACCGTAGGCCCAGAATCGGGTTGCATATCGCATCCATGTCACCGTAGTATAGCATCACCTGATTTGAATAATTTCAACTTTCGTTTCGCTAAATACCTTGATTCCCGCTCCTAATGCTCGCTTCACATGCGGCAGTACCGTAGGGTATTGCTTCGTATAGTTTAGCTGTTGTGCATTTCTGTGACCGAGAAATATTCGTTCCGAATGCAACCCCTTATCATCCCTCTCAAATATCACGTTATAGCCGCCCGCAAATGCACTTTTTCAGACAGAGCACTGGCAGAACTCGCCCGTTCTGCTTTTTTGGTGTACAGGCACAGGTCATCATTTCTCACGCGCGGCGCCATTTTCCGAGATATCTCCGAAAATGTGTCAAAATGTGGCCTTGACGCTAATCCGGGATCTATGATGAGAGCTGAAATGCGACACGACTCACCTGCAAACCTTCCAATCCTGCACAGAGGATGGGATACCGAGATTTCGTCGTCGTGCCGGGTCGTTCAAGTACTTGGCGATAGCCCATGTGTTGTCACAATCTGTCGGAATGTCACCAGACCAATCTGGTTTGCATTCATGGTGAAGCCCGTATGGGTCGATGCCGCTTCCACTGGAAACTGGGTTAGAAGGGAGTAGAGAGAACGGGCATGATGTATTACCACAGTATTACAGGTATCGCACAAAGAACAAGGCCTTAAAGGGGCACAGAAGTCAAAATTCGTGTGTTCGGCGATCGAACCTATGATCGAAGAAAATTGAAGGGGCACTCGCTACGAGACCAAAAACGTTTACATGTCGCAATGCAAATCACTCAAGTTAGCAATTTCGCTGATTCCTGGGTCAATTTTTAACGCCGAAAACAGCTAGAATGATCAAAATCGCTTGATGATGCTAGAAATCACATCAGAATTTTGAAATCCAATTTTGCGGCAGTATCTGGCAACCTATACAGGGTGTCCCAAAAAAAAACCCCTACCTAGCGGTCCGCAGTCGATTCAGATTTTTACGATTTAGGTATCTATCGAAAGCTCTCGAAAAGGCAGAAAACAAGGAGGGTTGAATTTCTTAATTGAGCCTTTTTATTTGCTAATTTTATGTCCAAAAACCATGAAACTGCTGGATTATGCGAGATCTGCATGCTAATTGAGAAATTCCTGATGAAAAATTCCCGGCTTTTTAGGAAGACCTGAAATATCGATAAAATCAGATTAAATCTTAGAAAACAAAAACCCGCTTGTTTTCTCGCCTTTCAAGGCCCCCCCCCCCCCCCCCCTTTTTCGGATGACTGGCCTCTAGAGGGGCTGGGACACCCTGTATACTGG